GCGCTCTTAACCAACTGAGCTGCTCGGCCAGCCCAAGGTTTTGATTTTAGACAGGATGGCCAGGAAGGTCGCACTGAGAAGGTGACATTTGAGCACATTCCTGAGGGGAGGGGAGGAAGTCATGTGAGAGAAAAGCATTCCAGGCAGAGGGAACAGTCCATGCAAAGGCCCTGAGCAAGAGCAAGCGAAGGAGGAAACAGTGGGATGAAGGGGAGCCTTAGAGGTCCTGGGAGGACTTTGGCTGTTTCTTTGGGTAAGATGGGCCACTGGAGGAACTCAAGCAGAGCAGTGACATTACCTGATCTACCTTATAAGAGGATCACTGCAGCTACCAGGTTGAGAATAGCCTGAGAAGGGAACATGGCAGAAGCAGGGAAACTAGGCCCCACGGCTTCTTGTTCTCGGTCAATACTCCCAGTCTATGGGTGCCTAATGGATCAGTTAGAATCCACACCTTGTGCTCTGTGCCCACTGCTGCCTTCTCCTCCTGGCCTTTATTACGACCCATCTGAGCTGCCCAACAGCCCCTGCTTTGGGAACAGAATTCGACAGCCCTGTGAGAAGCCTGCCTGTCCACTTGAACTCCAAGTGATTTGATAAGACCCAGAATGAGAACAAAGGCTCACTCAATCAGTGTTTAAACCATGGAAACTTTTAGGCTTTATCCCCCCCACCCAAAAAGTTCCTTTCAAACCCCCCAGGGAAAAGGGAGGGGAAATCTCATGAGTTCCTTTGCTCCAGCTCTCTCTGGGACATCTGGACCATGCGTCTGCTTGAGACTGGTCCCTCCTTGGGACCAGGAGGATAAATGTCATATATGTGCAAGAGAAATACACAGCCAGCAAACACTGTCAGGTTCCCTGCTCCCCTGCTCCTTCCAAGGAAAGGGACACCTTTATAATGCCTTGCAAAGTGGCAAACCCACATAGTCTCCCCCTCCCAGATCCAGCCTGCCCCACGGCAGTCAGGCTACCCTAACTTTTCCTTGAGGGGAAGAACCCGAAGCTGAGCTGTCCAGTAAGGGAGCCGCCAACCTCATGTGGCGATTGAGCATTTGAAACGTGGCTTGTCTGAACTGAGATGCACTGCAGGTATAAGCTACACAACAAATTTTCAAGATTTCATACAAAATGAAAGACCGAAATAGCTCATTCATCATTGGTATATTAAAATGAAAATATTTGGGGGTTACATAAAAATTTTAATGTATCAAGGTCACCTGTTTCTTTTCACTTTTTTATTGTGGCTACTAGAAGACTTTAAATTACATATGTGGCTCATGTTATAGTTCTACTGGACAGTGCTGCTCTAGAGTTATGAATGGCCCCCCTGTCATCTCCACAGAATAAAGCAAAGAGAAGCAAAGACAGGTGGAGCATAATTACTTTGTGAGCTGCTGGAAAGATAACTTCTATTTTGCTTTTCTTGTCTCTTTCAGACACATCAGAAGGCGAGAGGGCAAGAGGCATTACAAGGGGCTCATCCAAGAGACGGGTGATAGCCTACAACAACCTCCAACCAGCAACCCCCCCAGCCCATCCAGAGTACATGTGCTGTGTGGTGCCAGGTGTGCCTGTTAGAAGCAGAGCCCTGGCCATATCCCAGTTATACTCCAGGATCCTCCCTAGGCACTTCGAATGAGACCCAGTGCCTCCCGTGGCATTCAAGGCCTTGAGCAACCTGAACCAAACTTGTGTTTCCAGCTTCATCTCACATACTCCCTGCTCCAAACCCACATACCTGTCAGTTCACACATTCACTCATTCGACAAATATTTATTGATTACTGCCCATGTGCCAGGCACAGTGCTAGCTGCTGAGGGCACGATGGTTAGCAAAACAGGCACTAAACCTGTACCCACTGGGGACCACAGGTCTAGTGGGGGATGACAGGTCAGTAACTAAGGACCATTACAGCACATGCAGTATGAGAACAGTTGCAGGAGAAGCACAGGAGCCATGAGTGCACCAAAGAGGCACCTAAACAAGCCTGGAGGTCAGGGAGGGCATCCTGGAGGAGGCAACATCTCAGTTGAAGAATTCGAATTGACCAGACTGAGGATGAGGGTGGTAAATATCCCGGGCAGTGGGAACTCTGAGTTCAACAACCAACCGGAAGGGCAGAACAGAGGGCGGAGCATGCAGAGCTGAACTGCACACACTGCCTGCAAGGCAGGGGCCAAGGGCAATTGGCTGGCCTTGTTTGGGCAGCAGGGGCTTGTGAGTCCTGTGAAGGAGCGTGGCATTTATCCGGAAGTGTTTATTCTGCAAGCGTTTTAAGCAAGGGAGCTCCAGTTTCCCACACGAAGTGCCTTTACCCCTCCTCCCCGTGCACTCAAATCCTGCAGCCCTCAGCAGGAGTCCGCTGTGTAGGGCAGGCCTGCCACAGTCAGGCACTGGAGGCTTTGAAGGAGAGTGAGCAAGGGGCTTGTGGGGGCTCCAGCTCAGGGGAAAGCGCCAAGGGATTAGGGTATTGGGGCTCAGTTTGGGGGCCAGCTGGGGTTGGATTTGGGGGTTGAGGCAGGGCTTAAGTTTGGATTTAAGATTTGGGGGCTGGATTCAGGAACAGGAGGCATGGTTAGCACTGAGGGTGAGGGTAAGGTCTAGGACCTAATTCCAGAATTTGGAGCTGGGTGGGGTTAGGGTGAGGAATTTGACCTGAGGTTTCAAGGCAAATTTGAGTTTGGGACTTGGAGCTGAGACTGGAATTGGATTTTGAAATGAGGCTGGGGGTTGAGACTGGGATTCAAGATTCAGGGTTGGAGCTATGATGTGGAGTAGAGGTTGGGGTTGGAGCTAGGAGTTTTGTAGTTAGGGTTTGAAACTGCAGCTGGGGCAGAGGTTAGGTTTGGGGCTGGATCCAAAGCTAAGATGGGGTTGGAGCTGGGGGGATGGGTTAGGGCCCAGGCGGTGGGGCAGATAGACAACATTTCTTCTGCTGCCCAGGTCTGAATTGTGTTCGAGCCCTAAAGCAGCTGACAGAAGTCCCTCCCTTCCCAGGAATGCCTTGGACTGCTGAAGGAGTAATGCCACGTCAGCCAATCGGCTCAAGCCCTGCCTAGGAAACACCTGTTGATCCCCTTCCCCCACCCCCTGCCCCAAGGCTCACCTGAGTGCAGGTTAGGCAGGTGAAGCACCTCCCCGGAAACGAAGCTGGAGTGCCCCACCTGCCCGGCTCAGATCGGATCCAGCACTTCTAGGCTTCTTGTGAGTGCCCCGTAGCCCCCCTACCTTCNGGCAGGTGAAGCACCTCCCCGGAAACGAAGCTGGAGTGCCCCACCTGCCCGGCTCAGATCGGATCCAGCACTTCTAGGCTTCTTGTGAGTGCCCCCCCCCTCCCCCACCTTCTCCCACTGCTCATCCCCTGAGAACCTCCACCCCACCCCAAACCTGGCCCCACTGTCCCAGCACACCTGTGCAAGCTCTTTCAGCCCAGTGAAGTCACTGCCCTGGGGAATGTGGGACTGACTTCAGGGCCTCTCCCGCAGGCCCTCCCCCACCTCCCTTGGGGGCACCTGCACATGCCTCTCCCACCTGGTTGCCTGGCAGCCCCTGCCAAGGGGTTGTGGAGGACAGATACCTCATCAGGGGTGTAACCTATGTACAGCCACGTAGTCACATTCCTGGAATGATCTAGGACCGGGCGTCCTATGTATAAAGCAGGAGTCCTATCCTGAATTGGAGGAGAGAACTTTGTGTTCTTTTATTCAAAAAGCATGCTTTGGGCATCTATTCAGGCCCCAGAATTCCCACTGGAATTCTGAAATGGAGATATCAAATGACTCCACCTACCCCCACACCCACCCCTCAAGATAAACATTATTGTCCTCGATTTTCAAATAAGGAGACTGGGGCTCTAAGAGGTGAACTTCTGGGGGCTTTCCTGACCCTCCTCCAAGCCCCTCTTCTGACTAACCCACACCCAGCATTTATCGCACCAACAGGCCTGCTCTAAAGGACTCCTAGGCTGCTTTATTTTGCCCAGTGTGAGTCCCACTGCCAGGCCTCTGGAGGACGAGTTACATGAGTAACCACTGTGAGGTCCCTCACCCAAGTTCCCATGGGTGGTAGGACCTGCGGCTGGGGTTCAAATCCAGAGCCCTCCTTTTCCCTTGCGCCACTTTTGAAAAATCTTGGAGGAGGACTGCATAGGCAGTGGTGAGAGGGAGAAGAGTTAGGGGACAGGAAGGCCTGTGAGGAGGTGGGGGCAGGAGGTGAAGAGTTGAAATCAGTGGGGATGAGGGCAGGGAACAGGATGGAGCAATGTTTAGAGGTGTCCTCCCCAGGACGTGCATAAGTGAGGAACACAAGAGGAGGAGCAGGTTGGGGGTAAGGTGACGGGCTGGGGTTGGACCTGTTGCATCAGAGATGACTATGGGACATCACAGTGACCATTGGCTTATGGGTCTGGAGCTCGGGAGGGAGAAAGGTATTTGGGAACCAGCAGCATGGCCGTGAGATTTGATGGGATGTTAGGGGAAGGAGGGTGCTAGGGGTCAGACCCTAACCCACAGAGAAGGAGCCACAGCCCTAAGAGAGAAGATTCAGGGTCAGGCTGCTGGTTCCAGAAGGGTTAAGTCATAGCCCCCTCCCTTCCCACAGCCCTCCCCCCTAGGAGCCAGCAGTGACAGCTGAAGCATGTGAGTTGGATCCTGAATGAGGCTTTATCTCTGGCTCTTCGTCATCATCCGCCACCGTCCACCGTGGCACCAGCTCCCTCAGCCAGCTGGGATGGGACAGGCAACTGAGAGAGCCAGAAAGGTCAGAGGCTGGGAAAGGGGGGTTTCCTGGAGGGGTAGGGGTGCTTTATGTGGGCAAACTCTCCTGGGATCATGGGAGAGGCATTCCCAAGGGGTGTTGCTGGGGAGGGGACTTTCCTGAGTGGGGGGATTTCAGGGGACATGGGAGAATTCCCAGGGATCATCCCCACAGCCCTCAGGAGAGACCATGGTGGGGGGCGGGGACGGGGGGCTGGGGAGGTAACAACTGTGATTCTCCCCAGCAGATGGTGGTGACCTTACCCTGGACTGTGAGAGGAATAGGACTCGGGGCCTCCAGCTGCCAAGCAGGTGGTGGGGGCTGCAGGCCATGACCTGCACCCTCTAACTCCTGGTGCTGCCCTCTGTCCTGACTCGTGCCAGACCCAGCCATGTCTGAAGGAGAGGCTCGAGCCGCGCCGGGCCGGGGGCTGCCCCCGGATGCACTGGCAGAGCAGGTGGAGTTGTGGTGGTCCCAGCAGCCTCGGCGCTCGGCCCTCTGCTTTGCCGTGGCCGTGGGCCTCGTGGCAAGCTGTGGGGCAGGTGGCGTGGCACTGCTCGCCTCCACCAGCAGCCGCTCGGGAGAGTGGCGGCTGGCAGTGGGCACCGTGCTGTGCCTGCTGGCCCTGCTGGTTCTGGTTAAGCAGTTGATGAGCTCAGCCGTGCAGGACATGAACTGCATACGCCAGCCCCACCATGTGGCCCTGCTGCGCAGTGGCGGTGGTGCTGATGCCCTGGTGGTGCTGCTCAGTGGCCTGGTGCTGCTGGTCACCGGCCTGACGCTGGCTGGGCTGGCCACCGCCCCTGCACCTGCCCGGCCGCTGGCTGTCATGCTGTCCGTGGGCATCGCCCTGGCTGTCTCCGGCTCACTTTTGCTGCTGGCCTTGCTGCTGTATCAGGTGGGCGTGAGTGGACACTGCCCCTCCATCCGCGCAGCCGCTCCCTCCACCCGAAGTGACAATGGCAGCATCTTCAGCATTTCAGGACAGTTGTCTGCTGGCCAGCGTCATGAGACCACATCCAGCATCGCCAGCCTCATCTGAGCAAGCTGGAGCCCTTCCCACAGCCTGCCTCAGCATCCACAGAATTGTGTTGGGGCGTGAGTATGTGTGTGAGCATGTGTGTGCACGTGCAAAGGGGACAGTGAGTGCATGTGAGTGTGTATGTGTCCCCAGGGCTGTCCAGCCCTTCTGTGGGATTGTGTGCTGAGAGCCTAGTGCAGCCACACAGCCACACTGTGGGGAGGTGAGTGTGTATCTCCTTGGAACTGGGTGTTGTGTCCATGGAAATGTCAGAGTCTGCCTGTCTATATCTGGGGTCTCTAGGCAGAGAAGTGTCTGAGATGCCTGGAGAGCCTTGGCCCCTATTCCCAGCACCCCTCAAAGCCAACCTGTCCTCTAACACCTGTGAGGGATTTCCCCAGGAGTGGCTGCTCCACCTCAGAGACTGCACCAGCATGTCTTCATTGAGGCGAGTAAGTCGTGGCACAGTGGAGAGAACACAGGCTCCAGAATATACAGGCCTGGATTGGACTCCTCCCTCTACCACTTACCAGCTGAGGAACTTGGGCAAGTGACTTAACCTCTCTGAGCCTCCGTTTCGTGAGTGTCATGGTCATGGTCATAGATTGTGATGGTTAAATGACATCATGTAAAGAAGGACTGGGCACATGAGAGATGTGCATTAAATGTGGTGGCTGCTGTTATTGTTATTGTCTTCTCATCCCCATCCCACCTGGAGACCCTTCCCCTCCTCACACCTACCCTTTCCAAAGTGAACACCGTGCCTATGTCAGGCTGACAAAAGGTGCCTTGAAGGTATCCTCAATCAGGCCTGTGGTTTCTCCTCTTAGGTACTATGAAGCTGAGTAGGGGCAGGGGAGGGGGGCAGAGCACTCAGCTTCGGGAAGGTGGTGGGTTTCTGGTCCCAGGGAGGCAAGCTGGGGGGGCTGAGTCCTTGGCATTTGCTCATGTGCTGGTTCAAGATAAAGGCTAAAGGATTGGAGTTTATCAGCTGGTTTCTCTGGAGGCTGCAACTCCCTACCCCACCTCTGAAACCAGAACACCCTGGTCGGTGCAGTCGCAGCACTGGCTGGCCTGCCTCTGGGTTCCTGGGCATGGGAGGGGCATTTGAAACCCTCTTGGGTGGTAAGAGTCACTTCTTCCTGCTTGGGGTGCGCCCCAAAAGGGATCTTCCCTTCTGTGGTGCAGGAACACTTCCTGGGTGGCAAGGGTAAAGTTCCACTGGAAAAGCACTCAAGAGTGTGGGTTACCGTTTCATCACTTCCTGCTTCACAGAGTGCATGAAGACCCTCGGAGGATAGAGAGGCAGGGAGGCAAGCCAGCTGTGTCCTATGAGGTGTTAAACAGCCACAGAGGCTCCAATGAGAGAACAATTGCTTTCAGCTGCCAAGATCTAGGCAGTCTCCTGGAGAAAACACTGAACTGATGGCTGAGGGGAAGGGTATTGCCAACCCAGGGAGGGAGCCACATGAACAGAAAGAATAGAGCATGTCCAGGAGCACCGGGTATTCCAAGGGGCACCTCAGACTCCACGTATTCAAAATAGAGCCCCTTTCCTCTCTATCTTGAACTAGCCCCTCCAACTCACCTTTCACCCAATACCCAGGTTAGAAACCTCAGCATGGTCCAAGATGGCACCCTCAGTCCCTCCTCACCCTGTGTCCAACACACACCACCTCCCGCGGCCTTCCTCTGTAGATATTCATGTGGTCATCAGACCTCCACACTCACGAGGAGCCTCTCTACTGTTCTCCCTCCATTGCTCTTTTCTCCTCTTAAATCCACCTCCCCCAACCCCAGCACATGCTCTTGAGCCCCAGTGACAGTCCTCAAATGAAAATGCAAACTTACCTAAGATCTTTCCATGGCCCCCCACCTCTTGCAGGCTAATGGGCAGACTTTCTAACGTGATTTGGCCTCCCTCTCCCCTCAAAGCACCCAGTGAGCCAGATACACTGAGCTACTGTCATGACTTCACATTGTTCTCACTTCCCCCAGACTCCATATGTTCTCTACTTCTTGCTTTTGTTTCCTTTAAGACTCAGTTCTCTAGGGGGCCACATCATCTGGGAATCTTCCCTGACCCTCTCCCCCTAAGCTACCAAGTTGTCCCCTTCTCTAGCCCGAAACTCTCAATTGTAGACACCAGCCTGCAATTCTTTCTCTGTGTACCTGTCTCTTTAATCAGGTGGTGAGCTCCTCCTAGCAGGGTTTGAGTCTTCTTATCTGTGTGTCCCTAGTTCCTAAACACGGGCCCGACACACAGTAGGTACTTTTTTGGATGGATGTAGGTCTCTGACTTGGTTGGATGGCAATGTGTGTGCAAGGATCAGGGAGAGGCCTACCTATAATTGGGAAGGGTAGGAAAGTTAGACCACCATCCACTGTTGGCCCTGAATCTCCTGACTCCCTACACTGTCTGCCCCAGAAATTCTCACTCCTCCTGGGTTCCCAAGAGGAAGCTAGCATTATCAGCAACTCCTGGGCCATTAGAGGACTACAGAACGCCTCCCCATCCTGTAATACTGTGAGAAATCCTGCTTTTCAGCTGAGACAGGGTTAGACTCTTCCACAATATTTCTTTTAAGAAACAGAAGGAAAACAAACACAGAGACCTAGAAAATGGGGAGGGGAAGGGTTACATGGCACAAACGTGGGGATGAGCAGCTACTGTAGGCAAAGCCCATGTCAGGCTCTCCTGGGAAGGATGCCAGCTGAAGAATATAGTTCATGCCCCCAGAGGGCCTATTCCAAGAAGCAGTGGAAAGGCGGCGTCTACACACCCAACTGAAATATGTGTTGGAATGGTAAGAGCTGGACCAAGGCACAGGCAGGGCCAAAATGTTACTGCTTCCTCAGTCACTAAATCCCACCCATAACCTCCCGCCTCCAGCTTGCTTGCTTAAAACATCTCACTAAACCCCATCTTGGTCCACATTGCATCCATCTGACCACCAGCCCCTCTGCTATCTCTCTCTAAAGCTACCCCCTGCTCTCTGACTTCCCTTTTCTGTCTTCATCTCCCTTCTGGTTAAGATTCTGTCACCCATCATTTCACCCACTTCCTGACAGAGTCCTCAACTCCTTAGCCGCCTGCCCCTTTGGTCCCACTCTCCCAGCAACCTCCCCCACCCCACCCCCCATGGATGAATTCTGCCATCTGCCTTCATTGCGCCTGCCACCTCAAACTGAGCGATTATTAGAGAAACCTGCACAGTCAGGCAGCCAGGCGTCACCATGAATTCCTCATCACCCATCTCAACCAGGTCCACAACACAGCTCATCAGTTACACTGTTTCCCTGGTCACCTCCTACTCCCACAGTGACCCTCAAGCTCCCTCCGCTTCCTTCACACCCCAGCATCATCCCCAACACCGCTCTCTGCAGGCAGCCTGCCCCCCCCGCCCCCCATGTCATCAGAAAATGATGAGAGTCGCGTGAGGGAGCCTTCACCTTGCTCCTCCTTATTCTCCTGTCTGTGCAATGGCCTTGGCAGGCCAGCTGAGGAATTTGGACTTTGTCCTTGGGACACTGAGAGACATGAGAAGAGTTTAATCAGGGAAGTACTCTGGCTAGAGTAGGATTTGGGACTCGCTGGCTGCAGTGTGGGCCAGGATTAGCCTTCCAAGAAAAAGAAGAAGAAGAAATGGCCAAACAGCCCCAGGAGAAGTGATTTCTCAGCTGGCCCTGAGGAATGAGAAGTATCTGGCCAAGCTAGAGAAGTTGAGAAGTGTCCCAGAAAGAAGACTGCCAAAGGGTCCGGGACAAGGGGACTTGGCTCCTTCGAGGAACCACGAAGGGTTTGTGTGGCAGGAACTGGAGCATTCTCTGGGAAGAGGCAAGGGGGTGCAGCTAGGGAGGGGCCCTGGGCCTGTCCCAGGCTTCAGCAGCTCCCTAGCAGGTGGCACAGTTTCTCAAGGCCAAGAAAAAGGCAGTAGAGAGTTGTAAGGAGAGGAGTGGCCTGGTCAGAATTGTGTTTTAGAACAATCATTCTGCCTGCAGCACAGAGAATTCATTGGAAGGGGCCACAATGGAGGCAGGGAAATCAGTTGGTTGACTAATGCCATAGTCTAGACCAGGGGTCGGCAAACTGCAGCTCGCGAGCCACATGTGGCTCTTCGGGTACGTTCCATCTCAAAAGTTTGCCTACCCTTGGAAGAGCCAATCCTGTCCCTCACAATAATATTAAAATTATTCGAGAGCCATAAATATATTTTTACATAATCACCATTATGTGAATAATATCCTGTAAAAATTTTATAAATGAAACTATGATAGTTTTATTTTCATTTTCAATTTTACTTCAGAACCACATGTATGTACCCAAAGAGCCACAGTTTGCTGACCCCTGGCAGCTCTTCCATCTCAAAAGTTTGCCGACCCCTGGTCTAGATACAAGATGATGGGGCTTTTAACAACAAGGTTGCCGGTTCGACTCCCGCATGGGATGGTGGGCTACGCCCACCCACAACTAAGATTGAACACGGCACCTTGAGCTGAGCAGCTGGGAGCTGCCGATGGGCGGCCAGATGGCGACTGGACTTGGAGCTGAGCTAGCTGCGCCCTCCACAACTAAGACTGAAGGACAACAACTTGGCTGTTCCCCTTCCCCAATTCCCCAATAAAATCTTAAAAAAAAAAAGATGATGGGGCTTAGACAATGGGATGGCAGTTGGGACAAAGTGAAACAGAACAGATTTGATGGATGTTCAGAAGCTGGGACCAAGAGGTCTTTGTGACTGACTGGAGGAACTTTTTAAGATGGGAGAGATGTGATGGGTTAATGTTGATAGAAAGAGGTTTGAGACACAAGGTAGAGAAGAGGCCAGTCTTAAAGTCCCTGAGTGGGAGGCAGGGAGGGTAGATTCAGGGCACAAAGTGGAGGGATTGGCCTTATAACGCCATTTGGTTGGGAGAAAAGGAAGAACGGACACAGGTTAAGTTTGTGAGTTTTGTAGGTGAAAATTGAAGGAGGCCCTGACCAACAACTATTCTCTCTGTGCAGCAGAGGTCATTTTAAAGAGCTGCTATGGAGAATGGGAGAGGGATGTGACCAAGAAAACAGCAAGATTGCTGGAAGCTTTGAGAGTCCACAGGAGGCTGGAAGCCAGGCATTAAGAGACACCAGCATGGGCGATGGTAGGATTTTCTCAACAGCACCAGGTCCTAGGTTGGAGTGTGCAACGGCGAGACAATGGGACAGGTAAGTTGAGGATATTGGCAAGAAAGAGGTTGACATAATAGACCCTGAAACCTAAACTGGGATTGGGTGGGTGAAGAGAAAAGACAAGAAGGGGCTGATGGAGACAAAGTAGAGGGGTGTGGAGCCAGAGGCTCTCGTCAGGCAGCAGGTGAAGTGGAACGAGAGAGACCCACCACATGTTCCTCCTCGGCTCAACAGCCAAACTCTAGGTCCTCAGCCATGTCACCTGGATGCCTGGATACTGGAAGAACATGTTCAAGAAACTTCCAAATCTGTTCCAATCCAGGTGAAGCTTACATCATATCCAGGCACATCCCACTTGAGACCTCAGGCCTTCTGGGGACACTCAGGTCCCCTTAGAGGCACTTCCTTTGGGCAGCAGGAGACTGACACATGCCCCCTCAGGCTCAGCTCTCTGCACAGGATAGGGACTGCTTTCCTGACTGTCCCTCAGGACCTGTGAGACTCCCCTGGGCACAGCCATGGAAGACAAGCCCAGGGACCGGGAGAGCACCCCAGGGAAGGGACATACACTTCTACCCTCACAGCCTGCTCTCCCAAACGCTGGAGACGTCTCAGCCCCACTTAATTGGGGAGGGGGCTGCCTGCCCAGGCAGGGTGGATGCAAGTACAACAACCAAGAGGTTCCTTCTCTGGGTCTATTTAATCGTTACTTCCTGGTAAGAAAAGGACGTTATTGCTAAGTGAAGAAGCAAGTTATAGTTACCTTGTGTTTGAGCCTCAACTTCTCAGTCAATAAAATGGGGGTGGCTGCCCAGCAGGGCTATTGTCAGAAGTGCTCGAACATCAGTGCTAATATATAATAATAATAATAATAATAATAAAACATTATTTTATTTTATTTTATTTTTTTGGCTGAGCCATCCTGCCACCAGTTGGCAGCTCAGCTCGAGCCGGGCATCGAACTGCTGTTGCTCAGAGCTTGCACTCTTGAGCGAGCTCTTAACCAACTGTGCCTCTTGGGTGGCCCCATCAGTGCTATTATTATTATCATTCTTGCTGTTATTATATTCTACAGCATCAGAGATTCTAATTCAAGTCCTTTGCTATCTTGACCAGATCTTCTGAGCTGAGTCCTGGGAAACAGGGACACTCAAATCCCCAACCCAGAGTGAATGAGAAGGGAGGAGGCTTGGCAAGTTCTTCCCTTAGGATTGACTGGCCGCCCCTTGTGGGGAGCCATTGCCCTGGAAATTCTCATAGGTATATGGCTAACAACTGCAGATGCTGGTCTGTTACACTTTACTTATATAACTCGTTTAATCCTTCTAACAACCATGTGAGACAAGTACTATTATGATCCACGTTTTACTGAGACATTGGAGCACTGAAGGGAGTAAGTAACTTGCCCAAGGTCACACAGCACAGACATGGCAGAGCTGGGATTTGAATCTAGGTAGTCTGTGCTCTCAACTCACCTTGCTACTCTCCTGGGGCTTCTTAAACTTCATGTCTGTGGCTTGTGTGACCCTTGTCTTTGGCCTCCACTCAAGGACAAAGGTGTGGCCTTGTTTTGGGGGCAGCAGGCAAGGCAGCCAGGAGGTGGGTAGTTCTCACAGTCAGGTCTGGGATGGAGCTCCCAGGACAGAGTAGGTAATCGCAGCTGCTGGGGGGTGCAGGACAGGGTAAAAGGCCAGGGGCAGAGACAGGCTGGGGCCAGGGTCTGAGGCCAGAGGAGGACAGACCAGAGCCAGATCTGGCTCAGTCCCAGGCCTCCCGGCAGTTCTAGCGTCCCTGGGCCCTGGAACCTGTAGACCCAGGTCATGCGCCCTCTTTGTTCCTGGGGCCAAGCATGTAGAGCACAGTGGGAACAACTCCTCAGAGGAATCCAGCCAGGCCTCTCTGGATAGGGTCCAAGGTTCTCATGACCCCAGGGTCTTGCTCGAGGTTCCAAGAGGAAGCCTTCCCTGCCCACCTTGCTGGGTGCTGGGCTCAGAAAAAGCAGCTGCTAACCTGGGGTCAGGCCCTTACCTTCTCCTGGACCCCTCAGATGTTCTTACTCAGGTCCCAAAGAATACATGAAAACAGGGACAGATGAGATGCTTTCTGGCCCAGAACTGCAAGCAGGACGGCCCCTCTAGGTGAGTCGCGGGGGATCAAGACAAAAGGGGACAGACTCACTGCGTTTGCAGCAGCTCTCCCCCTCAGAGGCCAGGACATGTCCTTGGGTCCTTAGTTCTGCAGCTCAGGATCCTTCTCCAAGTTTCAGGCAGCCTCTGCTGCTGTCCCAGACAGGGACTTCCTAGGCCTGCGAGGGTCTCACCATCTCTGGACTCAAGAACAATCGCTGGAGTTGGGGCTGCATGTGCTCGGCTCCCCTCCTGCCTGGATGCTTCTCCCCTGCCATGTCCACTGCTGACAAGCCCTTAGATGTCAGTGTTGCTCTACTCAGTTCTCAACGCCTCCTCAACTCTGCCCCCTCCCCATGATCTAATTCACTCTCAGGGTCTCAGTGACCCTATGGTTGACCATTCTCAAGTCTATGTCTGCATGCTGGACTTCTCCCCTGGAATCCAGCTGCCCCTGGGCATCTTTCCCTGGAGATCTTACATCTGGCACTGAGTCCTCATCCCCCAGAAACCTGCTCCTCCTTGATGCACCCAGCCATCAAATGAGAAACCGGGGCAGCTTCATTGACTCCTTCCTACTCCTCACATCCAGCAGCAAACAAGTCCTGCCAACTCCGCCTCCTTCCAATGTCTGGAATCTATTCCCTGTCCCACACCTTAGTCACATCTTCGTCACCTCTCTCCCTTGGTCTCTGCCCTCCACCCCATCGCTGCACAGCATCCAGAATGACGTTTCTGTCCTGATTATGTCACTCCCTGGCCAAAAGAGTTCACAGATGAGCCTAGGTTGCTCTCAGGTTGGAGTGCAAGCTATCTTGGCACCAAGGCCCTAGCTGATCTGGTCCAATCTTCAGCTTCATCACTGCCGTGAACACCCCTCAGACCCTATGCTCCAGTCTCCCTTGACCTCCTGCCTTTTTCTCAAATACCTCCCTACTTAGTCATCCCTCACTTTTCTTCTCTGCTGGCTCTTTCCTCAAAGGCTAACACTGCATCCAGGTGGACATATGTGGGGTGGCCACCTGGTTCCTAATGACTTCCCCTTGTCTGGGAATGGCCTGGGGCAAATGGGTGGGCTCCCCAAATCACATATGTACTACAAGTGCCTGACCCCACTGGTCACAGACCCTCACAGCCTGGTCTGTTACACTTTACTGGACCTGTGGTGGGTACTTGACCCAAACAAGTACTCGCCTGAGTACTTAAAACTCACAATTGAGAGTTTAGGAGTCCTAGGCATGGAGTCTCATTAATACCCAAAAATGATAGAATACTAGAGGAACCCTGCTGGGACCACCTGCTTCCTGCCCTTCCTAGTCAGCTGTCCCTTTAGTTCTATGCAAAAGCCAGGATTCTTCCCCCCAAAACTCCTTTACATTGCTTGCAAAAGAAGCAAAAAACCAAAAGAGGCTTAACTCCCTCCCTTGCCATCGGGGCTTAACTCCCTCCCTTGCCCCGATGTCCCCACCACCAGCTATGACCCTATCTTCCTCCTTTTTGGCCAGTTCTTAAGTCTTCCGCATCTGACTCCACTTCCTTACCTTTCATCTACTTACTCCTGAGCCCACAGTAAATCAACAAATTTGACAAATATTTACTTAGCATCTGCCTTGTGCAAAATCCTGAGGATATAAATAAGACATAACCTGTGGCCTCAGGGAGCTCACAGGCTAGCTATGGGGACAGGCACAGTAGGGTTAAGTGGGAAACGCAATAAAAATGGAGGTAAAATGTGGCAAGGGTGATGGTAGAGAAGCTCACATGGTGGTCACAGAGGGAGGGACTCACAGGAGGGGTCCTGGAGGCAGATGTCCAAGCAGCATCTTCAGGCTATGAGTGACCAAGAACATTTTTATACCCAAGTTCCGGTTCAGGGAAATAAAAGGGAACAACTTTTCATTTTTATTTGAATTAAAATAGATTTATTAATACCTGTGGGAAAGGTAATATATTATAACCATTTAGATTACCCACTTTATTGATATGGGAAATCTTCAATAGGAAACTTGGCACACTGATTTTCACCTGCTAATATGTTATCACCTGGTATATAATAAAAATTAGTGAAGTGGGAAGTATAGCAGAGAAAGGCAAGAAAGGAAACCAAGAGGCTGACAGAGGTCTTATTTCCATAGTTAGGCCCTTGGTAGGCTTTATCCTGAGAATAGCAGGGAGCCATTGAGGGTAACTGAGTAAGAGAGGGTCATTGTCACTTAGGTGGCTAGTGTCCCAGAAGGGAGGCTTGCTCTACCCCTGGTCCGCCCCTTAACCCTGGCCACCTCTGTCCCTGAGGCTCACGGCTCCCATGCAGTATCTGCTGTCCTTAATCTGTCAGGCATGAGGGGGCTGGGCAATATTCACACATAAGGGCTCAGAGGGGGAAGTGGTTCCTGCCACCCTCTGTCCCCAGCCCACTGACACCAGGCTGAATGTAATTGTCCTCGATGAAGCCATCATCATCCTCATCTTCACCCACCTCTGGGCAGACACCCTTTCTTGTCTCAGGCAGTGGGCGGTGCTGGTAGCTGGTGCGGTATTTGCGGCAGAGGTGGCATTTGGCAGCAAGGGCAATGAGGAGAGAGAAGACCACAGCCCCCAGCACAACTCCCACCAGCACAGGCCATGCGCGGGCCCCTGTGCCTGGTTCAGGGGACATGGCTGACGCTGTGGGGAGCCCCGAGGGCCCCACCATGGCTGCAGAGAAAAGGACAGCATTATGGATGGGGCCCTAGATAGGCTCCCTGAAGAAACTGCGAAACGGGGGCAGGGTCCTTCCACCAATCCCAGCATCTAAGGGAAACCCACCCCCCACCTCAGCTTCCCTCCCACTGTCACTCACTTTGGTTTATCTCAGTCATGGAGGGCCGGAAGACACCTGTGAGCCTCAGGCTTGGCCAGATCTCCTGGATCCAGGGAGATCCCCAGGTGCCAAGCAGGCCTGGGACACAGAGTCCTAGAACATACACACAGAGATGGCCACAGGGCATGCATTTCAGGCCACACTCACAGCCATGTTAGGGTGCTACACAAACTGTCCACAACCAGTTTTTCACAGGAGAGAAACAGGCTGAGCCACAGAAATTGGCTCTTTGTAAGGGAACATTGTAGGGTCCAGCTGTGGAAACGGCTGGAACAATAAATTAAGGCTGGAGCTTATGATGCAGGCACCAGGCAACATGCTCACCAAAATCTGTAGTGTGGGTATAAACATTATCGCCTCTCTATAGATGAGGTCTCTGGAGCCCAGAAGGGTTAACTGACTCAGCCAAAGACCCCAGACTTGAACCCAGGTCTCTGACACCAGGGTCCAGAGCCCAGTCCGCTACACTGCTTGGTAAGCCAAGGGTGGGAGGTGGCGGCAGAGGCAGTCCTGGCTTCCAGAGGTTGGACAAGCAATTGCTTGCAGCTAACGAGCCAAAGTGGAGACCACACATGGAGGATGGTGCCAGTCCCCACTCAGAGCAGAGGTCCCAGACACAGCCAGGGAAGTCCTGGCCCCTCTGTTCCTGAGTCAGGAGCCCCAGCTATGCCAACTCTACCCTCAGCCCTCAGGCACATCCCTTGTCCAGTCCCCAGTGCCCTCAGAGGGAGGCTGTATTCGGGGAGTAGCCAAATGCAGATAACCTGAACGAGGAAATTATCTGAGTGAGAATCACTAGGGCTGGAGAGGATCTACAGAAAGAGCATCTGAATTAAGGGAGTGTCTGGAGGAAAATCATCTAGGCTCAGAAATACCTAGAGGAGGAGCACCTGAATCAGAGCAGTGTCTGGGGGAGCAACACCTGACCCTGGAAAGTACCTAGAGGAAGAGCACCTAGCTTAGTCAAGTACCTGTTGGAGGACCAACTAGGGCTAGAGATTATCTGAGGTGGAGTACCTGAATCAGAGGGGTACCTGGCAAGGAGTATTCAAGCTAGGAAAGCACCTAGAAGAGAAGCACCTAATTTAGGGGAGTACTCCACCATAGTCTTAATTATCGATACCTATAGATCCTCCTTCCTCACCACCAACTGGATACCAAGCCTATCAGTTCCTCTAAATATCTCTGGAATCACTATGCCCTTCCTCTGCACCCCACTATCACTGACTCAGTCCAAGCCACCTTCATCTTGTACCTCAACTTTTGCAATAACCTCCCAACTGGTCCTCCCCATCTCTAATCCATTCCAGCGTGATGGAACTAAAGCCCAAATCTGACCCCATCACTCCGCTGCTTAAAAACTCAAGAGCTCCCCAGGGCTGCATGCAAATTCCCCCACCTCACAACCCAGCACATGACTCAGGCTAAACTCTTCTTCCTCTTCTCCACAGTTCCCTCTCCCATGCTCCCGGCTTCCCGCCCCCCAATCCCACCTCACACACACACACCTCCCACCTCACCCACCCTCTTACTTCCCAGCCACCCCCTCCCTCCTCCGTTTTTTAAGTCCACCACCCTCAAAGCCAAATCAGACCATGACTGCCTATGAGGTTGTCCCAGGACCACCTGGGACACTTCACTGGCCTACCCTGTCAACTACTGGCCAGTTACTAGATGGGCAGCTTCCTGGGGACAAGGACTAGGCTGATTAACCTGTGTCCTGGGACTTCCAAAGAGCTCTGCACTCAACTAACTGCACAGTACCTGTTTGTGAGATGAGTGAGGGAGAGAGCTCAGTGGCTGAGAGAATACGGGGGAGGGGGGGCATTAGAAAGGAAAGGTAAATCATCTACTAGCAAATATTCATTGGGTGCCTACTGTGGGTCCCACACTATGCACTGGGTCCTCAAAAAAAAATAAGATTTTGTTAAATTGAAATGAATTTAATTCAATTTGACATTTCTAAGATTTTACTCCTACTCCTTTCCTTCCTGCTTGTCCCTGTGAATTCTTCCCAAGGACACATACCCACACCCACAGGCTGTCACCCCACCCTCTCAGGTCACACTTCTTCCGCCAACAAACGCAAACACCCTCTGATCTTCACAGACATACACACCCACCCTGATTTGTAGCTCTTTTCCAGCTCCCAGGAGCCCTCAGGGATCTGTGGGTTCCCCCTCCCAGCCCCCCAGTTCTTCCCCTCCGCTCCCCACCTGTAGGAACTGTGCACAGTCGGTGGAGGAGGCTTCCGGTTGGGGCGGGCAGGCAGGTGGGCGGGCCGGAGCTGCCGCTTGACTCACCTGGGGACGAAACAGGCGGGGCTGAAGCTGCAGGTGAAGGCGGAGGGCTGGGCTGTAGGCAACTCCCCCAACAGAAAGGACTCACTCTACATCTTCCCAAGCTTTGGCCGAGAACGGCGCATGCCTCTCCCGCTCCCAGTACTGGGCGGGGGTGGGGGGGGGGATGCAGCTGGGATCCAGAGAGGGGTCTAGCGGGCCCTAGAAAGGGCGGGCACCTCAGCAGACAGCTGCTCAGGCTGGCGGCCCTGATAAGCAGTGTATTTCCGGTGACAGGTACAAAGTCCAGAGTTGAAGAGGGAGCTTTGCAGGCCTGTGAAGGCGGTGGGCTGGAACCGGAGGGACGGGGGGCTGAGCAAAGCCGGAGGGACCAACGACACTAAAAATGGCATGTAAACGTGTGTGTAAGTCTCTGTGTGTGTGTGTGTGTGTGGGAGGAGGTCAATGGGATGCGTGAGAAAGTTCAGAGGAGTGTATTCCGGAGTGTATATGTGCCCTTGGAGCAGGCAGTATCGTGTGTTTGTGTGACCTGGGTAGAGGGTTCAAGCCTTTATCTGGATCTCAAGGATCCTGTGACCCCACAAAGTTAGGTTCAGCATCTCCCTTTTTTCTTACTCCTTGTCCCCAGGCCTAGTGCCTCCTAGTCCTTGAAGACTCAGTTCAGGAGTCACCTTCCCTGAGTCCTCAGTCTACCCCACAAGCCCCGCCTCCTCCCCACAAGCCCTAGCTCCTCCATGCCCTGCGCACTCTTTATCACAGCATTTCTCTATTTGTATTGTAATGATTTCTTCCTGTGCTGCCTCCCCCATTAACCTGCAAGTTCTCCTAGGGTGGAGCCACGTATTGACAGTCTCTGGGTTCCCAGCACCTGGCATAAGGCAGGCCCTCTGTAAATATCTAAGGGAAGAAGGATTGCATGAGCTAAGCCATGCGGGCACAAGAATTCACAGGGACCCTCAGGGCACATGCCAGAACTGTGGCTGCAAAGTGGAGGCCAGTTCATTCAGGACCTTGAATAGCTTAGCATGGAGTCTGAACTCACTACCTACTTCTCCCACCTTATCTGGTGCCTTCACTTTATACGCCCTGCACCAAACTGTTCTCTATTCCTAGAACCCACCATGCTCTCACCTCCCAGGCTCTACATGAGCTGTTCCTGGGACCCTGCATTCCCCAGACCTCACCTCCAGCCCCTACCCCCACTTGTCCATCTCCTACCTGGCTGATTTTCCTCCCAGGCCTACTCATCACTCAGGCCCCAGTTTAGGTGCCTTTTTCTCTACACGGCCTTCCCTGAGTCTCCCTAGTCTGGGTCCCTCCTCCCCTCCTCTCTGCCCCCCGCCCAGACCCTGGCCCTTCTCCCCCATAGGCCTGACTGCAGGTACTGTGATTTTCTCTTTATTTGGCAGGGTCCCTTACGAACCTGGAAACTCAGGGTCTGCACCTGTCTTGTTCCCCTTCAAATCCCCAATATCTAAAATGGCAATAATAAATACTTCTGAAATAAATGGATGAAAGGAAAGTGAGTATTATCTGAGATGGGGCAGTAAGGATTCAAGGAAGGTTTAGGATTTTGCTTTGATTTTGAAGCAAGGAAATCATAGCATTCAGAAGATAATACTTGAACACCTACCATGTCCTGGGCACTGTGGGGGTTTTTTTGTGTGTTTTTTTTGTTTTGCTTTTTTAATTGAGGTATTCATGTTATATAACCTAATTCACATAACAAAAAAATTCACCATTTTAGCCATTTTCAGTACACAATTCAGTGGCATTTGGTACATTCAGAATGTTGTACAACCATCACTGTCTCTAGTTCTAAAACATTTTCATCACACCAAAAGGATACCCCTATTTAAGCAGTCAACCTTCATTTCTCCCTCCCCCAGGCTCCAAGAACCACAAATCTGCTTTCTGTCTCTATGGATTTGCCTATTCTGGGTATTTCATACAAATGAATTCACATTTGTGCCAGCACTTTAATGAACTATTTCATTTAATCCTGATAGTTGCATTATTAGATTGATATTAAGTATCCCCTTAACAGATGAAGAAAATGAAGTCATAAGGGAATTTACATGACATTCCAGAGAAGAAAACAAGGTCTGCACATCCATAAGTCAGCTATTATTCAATGAATATGTATTGAACACCCACCACAGAGCCCCAGCCAGCCCATAGGCATGCATTGTAAAATAGCAGAAGGCAACCTGTTGGGTCCCCCCGCCCCCACCAAGCATGGAGAACAGAGAACAGGCTGAACATCAGCACCCACTGGCCCCTCAGCCGGAAGCTCTGGTGCAGTAGACAACCTTTACAACCTTCCGTGGCATCCATGTAGCAGGCACTGCGTGAGCTGCTGGAGACAGAGTTCCTGCCACCATGCAGCTTTCATTCTGGTGGGGAAGACAGACAATACACAAGAAAAGAAACAAATAAGATTATTTCAGGTAATGGTGAGTGCTGTGATGAAAACAAAACAGCTTCATGTGATAGGGCATTGGGGAGGGGTCTGCTACATCATGTTAGATAGTCAGAAAAGAGGGAATTCTCTGAAGAGAGCATGTTTGAGCTGAGATCTAAATAACTTTGACCCTCCCCCCTTTCCTGCCTGAGAGATTCAGACAGAAAAACCAGCTCCAGGAAGCAAGGAAATCTTACGGTGATACCTTAGCCTACCTTGAATCAAGTCTGGTTACTGGGAGGGCTTCAGGCCGGGGCCTGATAGCTAGATACCCTCTGTGTCCCAGTGCTTCTGAGTTGCCCAGCAAGAATTTGCCTTCCGTGTGTGTGTGTGTGTGTGTGTGTGTGTGTGTGTGTCCACTTCTGAAGTCTAAAACCCTATTCCACTCCCCTTTTCTCCTTTGTCCAAAATGTCATATATAGCCAGTGTTGCCTCACTGTCTTTAAAATTTTCATGCTTATGTGAATTCCCCACGTGCATGTATTAAAATTTGATTTTCTCCTGTTAACCTGTCTCTGTTAATTTGATAATTAGCCCAGCTGGAAGGACTTAGAAGGTGAGAGGAAAAATCTTAATTTTTTTTTACCCTCACAAGGAAGTGTGGCATCAGAGTAATCAGGTAGAAATGAGGAGAAGTACTCAGATTCTAGATATATTTTGAAGGTGAAGCCTACATGATTTGCTGATGGGATGTGCATTTGAGAAAAAGAACCAAGAATAACTCCCAAGTCTTGACCTGAGTAACTAGTAGGATAGAGTTGTCATTTACTCAAGGTGGGAGGCTCCGGAAGGGACAGATTTGGGAGGGCAATCAGGACCTCAGTTAGATGTGAGATGCCCATGAGACATCTAGA